TCTCGCATGGATACACTGCAAGGTCAACTTCAGACTGTCCTTCAGTTATTGCAGCCACACCCTCCTCCGCCACCGGAGTCCTGATGGATTTTGATTTCCTTTTGTGTCTTTTCTATTCTGATTTCTCCTTTCATACAGTAAATGTTATGTTATGAATTTTTATTTTTTATTTCCTTTTGTTACTATTTCCATTCCTTTGAATATTTTTTCTTTTAGTAGCTTTTTCCTTTAATGTTTTTCTGGTCTTTTGGCTATGACATATTCCAACACCCATCTCTATTGTATTTTTCAATACAATTTTGGTAATGCTTACTACACTCTCTTGTTCTTTTCTTTCATTAATACAATAAGTTTGGGGAAGTAGTTTTATTTTGAACACATTGGGGACAATGTGTTTGATTAAATTGGGGGATGGAAAAATTTTAGTTAAAATTTTATTTTTTTTTTAGCTTAACATGGTTGGAATAATTAGAGGCAAGCTTAAAAGTTATCATAATTTAGTAACTTGTGATAAATTTAGTTGATTTTCTTACCTATTATGTTTAAGCTTTAATTTTAAGTTTTGACTTAACATGATTCCTTGGTGTAGCTATTTGTTTTTAAGATTATAAACACCAATTTTTTGTAAATTTTATGATATATAGATCAATTTTTTGTAAATTTTATGATATATAGATATGTTTTGATCAAAAATTTATTTAACCTTGGCATTCCTAGAACAAATTAGAATTTCCTTTGAGACAAAATTTTTTTTATGCTTACATTTAGAAAGAGATGATTTAGGCATTCTTTATCGAATCCCTTACTTAGCCTAGGCCAATTAAGTTAAAATATGACTTTTGTAACCAATTTGAAGCCTATATCCAAATCTTATTGTTCACCCTTATTAAACCTAGCCATTAAACCAATTTCAATTCCTACCCTAAGTGCAATAATGTATAATTGAAGGATTTGATTTTTATTAAAACATAACAACAAGAAGGGAGAAAATTTCATTGATACTAGCAAGTGTACCGATTAGAAAAATCAAAAGAGAAGCACCCCATAGAAAAAGCAATCAATCAAAGAATTCAAGTTTGGGGAATTTTAAAAACAAGGAAGAAATTATCAAAATATTATGAAAAGACCTTGCCAAAATATCTCTAGTCATGAGCTAGTGAAGAATTTAAACACAGAAACTCCCTTAAACAAATAGTTTTGGTATAATGAAAATCTGGATATTATACATTCTTTTTTCTTTTGTACTCTTTGTCTATCTTTTATCATTTTTCTTTGATTAGCTACATTTATATCCCGAAAACCCCATTACAACCCAAAATAAAGACCTTTTGATCTTTCTAAATCAATATACATTTCAATTGTGGAGAAGGGATGACTAATTTTGCATATGGGAATGCTGAATTTATACTATTAAACATCTTAATTAAAAAGGGACTAAATAATTTTTGAAATTTCATATTCTACTTATCATAGGTTGAATAAATTTTGGTGTTGACAAATCTTTTTTAACTTATGTTGAAATCAAGTAATATGTTTTATCAAAAATTGAATTCTCGCTTAGATATAAATTAGCATGGAAAACACTTGATTTATTCGCATATTAATAAATTTGATATCTTTTGAAACTTGTTAATAACTATCTCCAACCATAGTAAGCTAGTTTTGGCAGTTTATTTTGTTCTTTTATTTTTAGTTTTATTGCTTGAGGACAAGCAATGGTTTAAGTTTGGGAAATTTTGATAGGTATCATTTTTATAGTATTTTTAGTATAATTTTATTTAGAATTTTTATTAAATTTTTATCACTTTAATTTAGTTTTACTTCATTTTAAATATAATTTTGTTCAAAGCTTCCTTGAATCATAGTCCACTTGATCTTAAAGGAATTTGCAAGATTTTGGCATAGAAAAGAGCATTAAAAAGCAAAGTACTAAGGCTCGAGCACACCTAGCTCGTGCACCTTAGCACAGTCGTGCTAAATATAAGAGAAATCAAGTGGAGAGTCAGAGCCAATGACACGCCCGTGCTAAACTTCAGAGAAATCAAGTGGAGAGTCAGACGTTAGCACGGCCTGCCCGTGCTATATAACACGCCCGTGCCTAAAGAACCTCAGGGCGCGTTTACCGAGCACGCCCGTGATGCAATCTACCTTGGAGAGTCAGAGCCTAGCACGCCTTGCCCATGCTATGGTGCACGCCCGTGCCACAGAAACTCCTCTGAGCGTGAGAAACTCCTCTGAGCGTGTTGCATAGCACAGCCCGTGCTGAATCATTCAGAGATCCAGACTCTAGCATGCCCAAGCCGTGCTAGATGGCACGCCCGTGTTACTAAGGCGAAGCTGTTTTGAATAAAAACGCAATCCAGTCTTCTTAACTCACATAGGCCCACCTCAGATATGTTCCTAAACATGCAAAACAAGATCTAAGTCTATTTAGGAAGAGAGAAGAATCCTAACTAAGAAGAAATCCTAAGCCTAATCAGTTTATGATCTCCAAAGAAGATTTCGTACTTAATAAAGATTCTATTTCCTAAACGGAGTCTTCCCTAACGGAGTCAGATTTTTTCTCCTAAAGGAATCCTATATAAAGAGAGGTCCATTCATTGTATATTCCATCTAGAGTTTCCTAAGTATTTTTCTAACCATAGTATAGTTCTCTCTCTCTCAAAGATTTCAAGCATCCAAGATTTGTGCCAAGATTCAAGGAAGCCATCCACATAGCTGTTGTCTAGTTTTTATTTCTAAGCTCTTAATCTTGTCTTTCTTTTCATTATTCATTATTGATTATGAAGTTTTATTCGAGCACTATTGAGTTTTATTTAATTACTATGTCAAGCTAAACTCTCATATTAGGGATTTGATGTAGCTTAATTTGATTCCAATTTATAATATATTAGATTTGCTTTTCCTTGTTCTTGATATAATTTATTATTGAACTTAATGCTTCCAGGCAGAATTTTTCTCCTGGATTGATTTATTTCATTAATCACTATCGGAAGAAGGGTTTTTGATACGAAAAAGGTAATAAATTACATGAGAATAATAACTTGATGCGCTAATATAGTTTTGACTCATAGGGGGGTTTTCATAAAGTTAATGACCTTAGATTATGAATTCACAAAACAAACCATAAAACTTAATGATTTAATTTCATGTTTTGATTGCACTATGGAAGATATGGTAGATTAGACCGAATTAGAATAGCTAACAATACAGTCGGGAGAGCTTGTTAAGTAGAATTTTAGGGTGTCTTTCCCCTACTTGAACAATTAATTAATTTTCCCCTACTTGAACAATTAAAATTAATTAACAAACTAATAAAATAAATTGGATAGAATTAAGTGAAATCAAAATCCCTAGTAGTTTTAAAATCCATGGTTTCTTTTCATCTAAATATTGTTGCTTGATTTCTTTCTGTCTTATTTTAGAATTTACTTTTTTTTATAATAAATCTCTCTTATTGTCGTTTAAATAATAATAGGTTAACATAATTTTAGTACTTGATATACAATTCCTGTGGATACGATACTCTTTCACTCTATATTACTTGATACGATTTCATACACTTGCGAAAATCACTGTCATTTACCTTAAACTTGTTACATATGTGTAAATTATAATTCATAATATTGAAAAATATTGAGCTGTTGTAGCTTAGTTGGTTAGAGCATCTATTCAGTAGCGGCGGTTTTAAGTTCAATTCCAAACAAAATAGCAATCTTTTTGATAAAAAAAGAAAAAAATACATAATGAAAAATAATTTTTAGTCATTTTACGTTCTGAGAACAATTGCAACTATAACAACCGGTATTAGATATCATCTAGTGCGAATAATTAAACCTAACGACCGCTTGAGGTTTTATGTGAATAAATCTTGATTGAGGTTTAGTAGAGAACCGAAAACGTAATATAAACATCTTCCTAAAGTTTTTAGATTTTTTTTTTCTTCTCTCCACTTTCCTAGCTAACCTGTTATAAAAGATTGCTGTAAACTAATGAGCAATGATTGATGGCTCAACATGATACGCCCTAAAATTCATAAATCACTCCTATAATCAATATAAAATTTTTTGTGTCATCAGTAATTTTTACTTTAACCAATTAAACACTTAATTTTATAAATTTTCATCTATTGAACACTTCACTTTGTAAACTATTTTATTGAATACTCCAATTATAAAATTAGATCTATTAAACACTTGTTATATATTTGAAAAATATGAAAACTATTCTCCCATGAAAGAGTGAAAATTATTATTTTAAAATTTGACTAACTCTATTCAAATTAATATTTTGCAAATAAAAGTTAAAAACACATTAATATGGAAAGATGCACAATATTTACTAAAATTTACAACTTTAGAGATATAATAGATCTCCTGCAAAATTTAGGGTGCCGCGAAATTTTTTTGATAAAGTATAAGGGTAAATTTTATGCATTTGGCGGTAATAAATGCAAATCAAAGAATATAGTGTTAGATATCCATGATCAATTTTAGAGGCAAAACCTGATTTTGCATTTCACTTCATTCACTTTTCCATCGGTTCTCACTTTGCTTTATCTACACTTTTCCTCAAAATTAGGCATGACCTTCGCTTGGTTTCAATCCGAAACTGATCAATTTGTAATTGGACGGGTCAAAATCGACGCCAAACCGTGGTCGACACTCATTCTACGCATGTATGTGATTTAATTTTTATATATATATAATTTTCTACTAAGTTTTTAAAAAAACATTTGAGATAGTTCAAATTAAGCTATTTAACATTATTCATGAAAATAATACACTAGACATAGATTATTAATAAACGTCAACCGTACAATGATGAAGTGATAAATTTAGAAGACTGCAATTTACACACCATCACATACAACAATAGACAACATAGACTAATTTAAAAGATGCTTGATGACGAGTACTACGTGAAAGCATACGCAGGACTTCTTATTTAGTGGGATCTACCGAGTGATTTTCTTCAAGCTAGTTTTAGTGATTTTCTTCAAGCTAGTTTTTTATCGAGCTTAATGAGATTGGAGATCTCAAATTCAAAGAAGGCAGGACCAACTTCAGTGTTTGCTCTCTCAAACTCGTAGGTATACTCCACTTTACTGCCATTTCCATATGGTCTTAGCACTTCGATCACTCTAATCGTGGTGCCGCGTGTATTGAAATCTCCAGCATCTCCATTTGTAAGTATATGTACATGGTAAATGCATACCATATTTGCTCTGTCCATTACATCGATGTTGACTTCTGCCCACACGATTGGAAATCCTATGCAGACATATATACAAATAAATAAATATAAACAAAACAGATAGAGATCCAAAAGAGTAATGTTTAATGGCGTCGGTTTTAATTTTCCTTACCACTAGCATATTCGAGTTTGAACCTCTTAATATAGTCAGGTGTGGTCTCGTAGACTATGATTTGGGTGTAGACGTCGGGCAGGAGGTTTTTGAGATCGGTTGAAGCCCAGCCGAGGAACTTCACTAGCTTGTCTGCACTTGATTGAAGCGGTTACAGTGCTGACAACCTTAATAGGGTAAGAAGCCATTTTTGATGATATGCAAGAACAAGTTAACTCAACTAAGAGAGAATTAATTATTGTTTGATGGATGCATCGGAGCTTTACTTAGACCTGTATTTATACTTGTACAATTTCGATTCCATCCTATCCGATCGCTGAAAACAAATAGTTAAACTTCAAAATTTCAAATGTACCATGTGTCCACAAAAACTTTCAAAATTTCAAATGTAACCATGTGTCTCACATGTAATATTAAGTTTTTTTTTTTTTTTTTTTTTTTAACCACATAAAAAGATGCAGCTATGAGTCGAACGTAAATTCCATGCCATGCAACTTACACTAACAGCCGATTTAACTTAATCAGTTTTCTTCTTCTTAGCTTATAGATAATTATTGTCTAAGCATGTGAATTTGTCTTTAATTAGCTTTGTTATGCGGGCATCAATATGAAGATAATACAAAATATTGTTTTAAAAATTATTGTATCTTCTCAATAAATTTGTTATACAAGTCCTTAAAATGAGACAAAGAAAAAGTTGTTTTGAAAGGTTTTTATCTACCAAATGAATGATCCTACGTGGCTTGTTGAAAACGTGGGTGTGGAAACATTAATTAAATTATTTTATTAATAACATTGATAGAGAGAGGATGATCGATTACTAGTTTATTTGATAAAAGTGTTGATGGGAGCAAGTATAAAGCGGAAACAACCCTCATCGAAACCATATGAGGCAAACTAAAAACATTATCGAACAAATCAATAAACTGACCTCTTGAAGCGCTACTCTTAATGTGGCTTTGGTGGTTTTTTTTTATTAATTTGCAATTAATTTGATTATTTTGACCGTGGTAATACTATACTCCGCCCTGCAACTAGTTAATTGTTGATTTATTTTCACTTTTAATGTAATTGTTTTTAGTTTTTTTTCTAATTTTTTAACACTATTTTTTTCCATTCAAACAGATTTATGATATAACGAAAAATATCAATAATAAAAAATGATACCATAAAAGGTCATATATTTGTTTACAAATGAGATATAATCTCTCCTCTAAATAAAAAATAATGAGTTGGAAATTAATTCAATAACATAAAAGAAAAAAAATTATATCAATTAAATATTATATATATTTTTTAAAATTAAAATTTTCTAACTGTTTCGTTCATCCTAACACATAGTTCATTTTAATTTTAAAAATATTTTTAAAAAGTTAAATTTAAAAATTTTGAAAGATTTAATTACTTATTCTTTTGAAGATTTTATTTTTTAAAAAATATATCTAATCAAATCATATCAGCCTAAAGAAATATTAACAAAATAATATATATTATATCGTACTATATTATATATATATACTCCTAAATCAAATATTATGTTATATTCTATTTGAAAATTTATTTTTTTAAGAAAATACATCCAACCAAATCATATAAACATAAGGGGAAAAAAAGAATATCAATAAAAAAGAATATACTCTTTTCTTTTTTATTTATCTTCCACATAAAATATTATAAATTATAATAAAAATTTAATCAAATATTTAAAAAATAAAATATAAAAATATTTAAATGTCTCATTATCATATATATTTGTATGACAAACTGCATGATCATATAATTAAACGGTGACGAGATAAAAATATTTTAGCATATGTGTGATTGTGTGGGATGAGAGGGTTACCTAACCCTACTCATTGAGTTTGGCGCTCACCCCTGCCTACTATTTTTTTTCCAAGTAATAGAAAGAAAGGAAAGCCCTATGGAGCAATCAACTTTATTTAAAAAATAATTTTTATAAATATAGTCAATCAACTAATAAAATATAATATAATTATCTATATCTATTTATTTAAAAAATAATTTTTAATATATTCCATCAAGTAATAAAATGTGATTTTCTAATTGAGAATTACTGAAGTTATTTTAGGATATTTCAAATTTTATTAAGAACGTTATATGAAATCTCATTATTTCCCTTCTATTTCCACTTTTGTATATAGTATAGATAGGTATAGATTTTACGTTCCTCCTTTCTAAAGCAAACCAAAAACTTTCCTTCCCCATCTAAAGGCTACAACAATCACATATTGCAATGCTTTACTTATAAGGCTATGTTCTTTTCGATAAGCTGTTTACCTTTGTAAGGAAATTAACATATAAGAGGAAAATAATAGAGTTGCTTTATTTTCAAAGCAGACTTTATCTTCTATCATTATTCTTTGTATTGATGTATTTTAATCTTGGTGTTTTTTAACTTCATATTTTCAGTCTAGGATTTGGTGTTTTAGAAAAGCCTATTGGCTTGAGTTTACTTTGCTGAGGTTTGTTAAGTTTCTTCCTTGTAATTTTAATTAATAAAATTTAAAATTTTGCTGATAAAAAAAAGATTTTATTTCTTCTAGAGCATGAAATATTTTTAATTTGTTGCCCTTACTATTTTAATTGATATTCTTAATTGTAACACTAAATCTGTTGTCCAACTCTTCAACTTCTCTCTCAAACACACGGTGTTGTTGTCCAACTCTTCATCTTCACGTCACGGCAGTGCTGGCGATGACGTCGGCTCATTTTCTGAGAAAATAGCTCCTCTTTCAAAGTTCTTTTATGGTTCTTATTCACATAGAGAAAACCTAGATTAATAAACCTTAATTTTTTTTTTCTATTGCTTTCATATTAGAACTGATTTTTTTTTGTATATATATATATATATTTTTATATATGCATATGTTGGGCGCTGCTTTCAGATTTTCTTCTTTGTTTTGTGTAATACCCTGAATTTTTATTTTCAAAACTTTTGAATTTTTAATAAATCAAAAATCGGAATTTGTGCCGGTATGGGCTTAAGTACCGAATAATTTTAATTTGGGCCTAAATAGCGAGTTGGACTCAAGCCCGAAACAAGTTATCAGAACACCTAATCAAAAATAATTTAAACTTCTTAGAATTGATATCAGACGACTTAAAATAATAATAAAATTAGATTTACAACTTAGTAATCCTAAATTTGATTCAAGCAATTAAATAAATCACATTAGAAAGAATAAAATGGGTTATTCAGTAAATATTTAATTATTAATAAATAGGAACCGTAAATCGGCTTAAAGTTTCCTGAAACCAAGAGAAAAACCAGATAATCAAACAAAAATCGAGCTAAATCATTAATTTGAACCAAACCGATTTGAATCGAATCGGAATGGCCCAAAACCCTCTAAAAACGCCTTCTCTCTTTTTTTCTCCGATATGCAACCAAACCGATGCATCGGAGCTTTACTTAGACCTGTATTTATACTAGTACAATTTCGATTCCATCCTATCCAATCGCTGAAAACAAATAGTTAAACTTCAAAATTTCAAATGTACCATGTGTCCACATGTGTATTAAGTTTTTTTTTTTTTTTTTTACATAAAAAATGCAGCTATGAGTCGACGTATTCCATGCATGCACTTACACTAACAGCCGATTTAACTTAATCAGCCACGTTTTTCTTCTTAGCTTATAGATAATTATTGTCTTAGCTTATAAGATTAATTATTTGTCTAAGCATGTGAATTTGTCTTTAACTAGCTTTGCTTATGCGGGCATTCAATTGAAGATAATACAAAATATTGTTTTTAATATTGTCTAAGCATGTGAATTTGTCTTTAACTAGCTTTGTTATGCGGGCATCAATTTGAAGATAATACAAAATATTGTTTTAAAAATTATTGTACCTTATCAATAAATTTGTTTTACAAGTCCTTAAAATGAGACAAAGAAAAAGTTGTTTTGAAAGGTTTTTATCTACCAAATGCATGATCCTACGTGGCTTCTTGAAAACGTGAGTCTGGAAACATTAATTAAATTATTTTATTAATAACATTGATAGAGAGAGAGAAACGTGTGGCGATTTGGACATTGTCCAATTGATGTACCGTCGGATCCTCAATTTCCTAATATTTGGTGCTTTAATATTTCTTGTTGAACGTTACTCTCACTGTGGCTTTGGTGTTTTTTTTATTGAATTTGCGATTAATTTGATTATTGACCATGGTTAACTATATCCCTCCTGCACTAGTTAAATGTAATTTTATTTCACTTTTAATGTAACTGTTTCTAGTTTTTTTTCTAATTTTTTAAACACTATTTTCTTTCAACTCAAACAGATTTAGAAAAAATATTAATAAAATAAAAAATGATTAACCATAAAAAGGTCATATATTTATTGCAAATGAGATATAAATCTCTACTCTTAATAAAAATTATAGTAGTTGCAAATTATTCAATAACATAAAAATGATGTACCATGGGCTCATATGTAGATTAACTACTTTTTTAGCTTCTTAGCTTAATTAGCCGATAATATTTATTATCTAGACATAGTTTTGGTAATATAGTTTTTCTTTTCAATTCATAGATAAAAAAATAATAATAAAATCCAATCAAGTGTAATATGGTTAGTCTTTTGAAGAGTGAAATAGAGGGTAACAATATTGTGTGACCTACATTGTTATTTCAGTCAATCAAACCTCTTAATGAATAAAAAAAAATAATAAAATTAATTATAAGTGTTTCACTAGGGATTAGCATCTACATGTGGTCAAAATCAGCATGTGAATGTGATTGTATAGTTAGTATTTTCTATATTAACATCAATATGAAGATAATATAAAATATTGTTTTTAAATTATTCCGTGTTATCTTATCACTAAATTTGTTTTACAAGTCCTCAAAACAAAGAAAAAAAAAAAAGTTGTTTTGGAAGGTTTTTATTATCTACCAAATGCATGATCATACGTGACTTCTTGAAAACGTGGAAACATTAATAAAATTATTTTATCAATAAATTTAATATATATAAATATATATACAGAGAGAGAAAGAGAGAGGATCATTAGTTAGTAGTTTCTAATGATCGGAATCAGTAATGGCTCGATTGCAATTATTGGTTTCAGAGAACATGGCGATTTGGATTAACTGGTCTCAAAATGCTTTTCATGTTTCCATTTTTAGATGTACTAAAAATAACAAAATCAAGCACGTACGGACATAGGCTGATTCTTGTCTCTTGTGACAATCCTTCTTCATATTT